CTTCTTCTTCTTCTTCTTCTTCTTCTTCTTCTTCTTCTTCTTCTTCTTCTACTGCCTCCATCTGTTGTAGTGTTTGTTGATAGTTAGCAAGCGCCATTTCTAAAAAAAGGAAGGCTTCTTTCACACCATCCCCGCCATCTGTTTTTGTTTGCTCATATTCTTTTCTCAGTTCCTCAGCAAAAAAAGCCATTATAAATCTTTTCTTTTCTTTTTTTTCCCCCTCTTTCTTCTTGCACCAACCAAGATATTTCAAAAAAATAGAACAATCCCAAAGTCCTCAATCAATCCAAGCCAAAACAAAGTTCTCACTTTCTCTTCCTGGGGTAGTATCAATCAAAAAAAAGAAAGTCCAAATCTGTATCTTAAAGCCTTATTAGAATATATTTCAGTCTTCAAATCCTTAAGGCATCTCCTCCAACAAAATCTTAACATATAAATATATTTTTTGTCCTCTCCCTTCCCACTTATCACATAAAGCTGGTTTTTACCTGAAAAAGACAGGTTTCTCAGTACACTTGTTGATTCCGTAGGGAAGGAGAGTAAACTTTCCTTTCAGCACCTCAAAATTGCCGCTTTTTTTCTCTTCTGGAAAGAATCATTCAAAAAGCCATAATTTCCAGGAATTGTGTTAAATATGTCTTAGAGTCCTGGGTCAACCAAGAAAACTTTCACTCTCAAAAGGCTTTCTCCTCTTCCTCCTGCGCATTCTTACCCAGCTGCCGGCTTCTTTGTGGCGGCCATTACAGACCGCCGCTGCACCGTCTTGGGAAAAGGGGGTTCTGCCAGCTGGGGAGGGGGTCTGCAACACCCCCAAACCCCTCTCCGGATCTCCCATATCTTCAGCCGTCCCTGCAGGGCAGCCTTAGCTCCGAACCCGTCCGGATCGGAGCACCAAAAACGGCTAGCGCAGCAAGGATCGCGCAGTATCGCGAATCCCTGCCGCTCGCGAAGCCGACAAACCGGAAGAACTCTGGAGAACTCTTCTTGTGAAATATTTCTGGACTTTCTCAACTATGTTAATATCAGATACGTAATGTGGGTTCCAGACTGATGAGCTGTATTCGGGTATTGGTCTAGCAAATGTTTTGTATGCTCTAGTTAGTAGTGTAATATTACCAGAGAAAAAGCTATGTAAGATTAGGTTAACAACTCTTAATGCCTTTTTGGCCATGTAGTTACAGTAGGCTCTAGCACTTAGATCATTAGAGATGAGTACTCCAAGATCCTTGACAGAGTTTGGATCATCAACAAGGTCTTGACTATTCCGCCTGTATTTTATTTTCTGATTTTTTTTTGCCAATATGTAAGACAGAGCATTTATTTGTTGACATTTGAAGTTGCCATTTGTTTGACCATTCTGATACATAGCAGAGGTCTTTTTGAAGGATAGCAGTATTGTCTGTGGTGTTGAACAGCTTTACATCATCAGCGAAGAGAATGCAGCTGCTCTTAATATGATCACAGAGCTCATTTATGTAGAGTATGAAGAGAGTTGGTCCTAGAACACTGCCCTGGGGGACACCACTGTTGACAGGTACAGAATTTGATAGGACGCTCCCAATTTTGACCATTTGTTGTCTGTTTGACAGGAATGCTTCTATCCAGTTATGCAGGTGTCCAGAGATACCATCAGATTTTAGGTTTTTTTTGAGTCTGGTGGCATAAGGTATTCTGCAACGAGTAGAGGAGTGGAGAACTCTTCTTGTGAAATACTTCTGGACTTTCTCAACTGTGTTAATATCAGATACATAATGTGGGTTCCAGACTGATGAATACTAGATTCTGGCATGGCTGAAGAAGGGCTGGGCAAGCACCAGGGACTCTGAACGTGTAGAAAGCTCTGAGCCCCTAGTGCAGAGGTCTCCAAATTTGGCAACTTTAAGACTTGTGGACTTCAACTCCCAGAATTCTCCAGCCAGCACAGCTGGCTGGAGAATTCTGGGA